CTCAAAATGATCAGTCCAAGCGTTCTCTTCTGCTCCGGCTCTGGAGCCTTGACCTCTTCATCGTCATCTTCTTCTTCTTCTTCTTCATCCTTCAGACCAGCAGACGCAGCTTTGCGCTTCTTCCCTCCTCCTTTCCTCTTCAACCTGCGGAACTCCTCCGTGTCGGCGAGGATGAGGTTCATGTGGGGGTCGAAAGCTAACATTTGACCAGTCAGTTGTCGACCATCGTCCAGAGTCACCCGCAATCTGTAATTGATGAGCGACATCATCTTGCCTCCGGCTGCTTTCGAGGGCGGCATCTTGGACGAGCTTAGCGGAGACTGACAATAGACGCAACGAGGGGGCTTGTGAGATGATGAAAATGGTTCACTATAGCCAATGGTCTATGATTGGCCTCTTTGTATGCGCCGCAAATTCAGATGTCAAGCCAAATGCCCTACGCGTGGTGTAGTGATCCGGTCCAAAGGCTCAATTGCCTCGAGGTGGTGGCGCTTCGGAACGAAGAGTCGACTCTGCAGAGACTTGCGCTCTACGATGGGCTGTTCTTGATCGAGGAGGAAGCAGTGCCGAACGTTACAATTGTGCTTGCTGATTGTTGGTGATAGCAGCAATGAAGAGAGAGCTCGGCAGAGTGTGGGCCAGATGATGGCGTTCACGTTGAATGGGGATGACGGAATGTATGACTTGAATCTTCGGCCCTGGACTTGACTCGCGACGGACTCACGACTCGCGACTGAACATGCAGCGAACGATGAGAAGAACGCACGACTCGTGACTTGGATGCATGGCGTGGATGCTCGTCGCGACTACTTTGACTGTGACTGGCTCGCGCTGGTATATGCATCCCACTCGTGACTTCTCTTCGCTGCTGCATTTAATCTTCCAGCATCGCCTGGCCGACGCGCGCAGCTACGGGATGGGCAGCTAGCTCATCCTCCATGAAATCCATCACGCAACGGCATACTGGTACGAGCGTTGGATGAAGCTACTCTCAATTGTGATCAGACTTCATCAGCATCCGTCACGACTCACTTATAGCCGCCATACAATCCGGGAACGGAAGCTACAGGTTATCGGTACCAACAACATGACTTCTTTTACATTGCCCTTGCGCAGCCTCCTACGGGCCTCC